GGCGCCGGGGGGGGGGGGGGGCGGAAGGAAGCACGAGGCAGGGCTGGGCTGGAAATGGTGCCCCTTCCCCCTGCGCCGCTTGCACTCGCTAATGGTGGCCGGAGCGGCGACGGGAGGGAAATGCGGCAGGGTTTTGTTTTCCCCTGTGTGCGCGACACATGCGGCGTGCACACGTGCCTCCTCTACGCGCGCGCCTCCATATGTGTGCGCGTGTCTGGATGCATCGAGGTTTAGATGCGTGTGGATCTGTCTAGATTGGTCTGGATACACGCACGTAGACGTACCTGTTTAGGCGCGTGGGTCTCGATTTGTGTCTAGGCGCATCTTGATTGACCTAGACACAGCTATATATCCCATTGTTGGCTCCCTTTGTACTCTTTTCACTGAGGAAGGCAAAATAATAGGTCTGGATGCGTTTAGATAGATAGGTCCATCAATCTAGAAGGCAAAAATACATCTAGACATGTCTAGATAGACTCACTTTCTCGCTCTCTCTAGATATACATCCCTAGATCCATCTAGAAAGCAAAACTTAATACAATTATCTAGAGATACAGTAAAAGCCATGTTATCCGGCACTTTACAAGCTGGCATGCCAGTTTGTAAGATAAAAGCGAAACCGGAAGTGGCCACTGTGGCACTTCTGGTTTCGCAGAACCCCTACAATAACAGTTCTTTTCCCCTTTTCTCTTCTGCCCCCCTCCCTGTCTCTCACAGCAGGAGGTGCACTGGACGTGGCGGGAGAGGTGGCCACGTCTAGTGCAGAAAACTGGCATGTTTTGTTATCCAGCACCCCTGATTCCCTATGGGTGCCGGATAACAAATTCTTTTGCTGTATATCTCTCTGATCTAGATGCACCTAGATACACATACATAGATGTAGCTATCTAGATCGATCCAGGTACATCTAGATCTAGATGTCCCATTGTCAACTCCCTTTGTACAGTTCTTTGCTGAAGAAGGCAAAATATAGATATATACACACACCAGCACGTATTTTATTATCTCGATAATGAAATATGTGCTGGTGTGTGTATATATCTATATTTTGCCTTCCGTAACGAGGAACCGTACGAAGGGACCTGACATCGGGACCCACCTGCATGGTTTCAACCTTAGGCTTTGGAGTGAAGTCACAGTTTGCATGGTTTTTATTTTAAACTATCTGTTTTTCACAGCAGGGCCCTCGCTGAGACTTTTGGAGGAGATATGTAACTGGAAAGGGACTGCCCAACCTATACGTATACCAAATGCTGCAGCAACATGGTGCAGTGGCTGCTTTATGACAGTGATTCTCTACTCTGCTTGGTGTCATTAGATTCTTCTCTGAGGTGCTGGGCGGTATTGTTACTCCATGTGCAAATGCCTGCATGTGACCGGCAAGTACCCAGAGATATCAAATAGGAATCCATAGCATCAAAAATGTTCAAACCTGTAGTGGTCTTCCCAGGTTCTTTGCAACCAAAGAATTGCTGTATTCTTTTTCTGTAGTAAAAAGAGTGAAGGCTAGGATCAGGATTTTCATTCATAGTCATCTCTGGAGTCTTTCGAGGTGTGTCTTGAGCCTAAGAAGCTTGAGAACCCCTGTTCTTAAGACCTTGCTTGGGCAGACATTTAGCAAGCAAGTCTAAGATGGGATATCATGTAGGAAGGTTTTTTTATATCCTCTTTTAATATTCTACCTGCTTTATAAGTTATTTTGTATCTTGCTGTAAGCCACCAAGAGCCTTTTTTGGAAAGGGTGGAATATTCATCTAATAGATGAGAGACCTGGCTTCATGGCTCAGCCACCGCCCTGCTGGCTGACCTTAAGCAAGTCATTTCACTTAATTGAGCCTTAGGTTTCCCTAGCTGTAATACAGGGTTAAACATATTCAGATCTATGAACACTAACATCTGTTTGAAGACTCTTGCTGGAAGGTCTGAGGATTACATTGTTTGTTTTTTACTTGAAAGCAGGATACTAACTTGTACCTTTACCTAAAGTTAGCCACTTATTTTAAATAAGTGTTTAACGTTAACTTTTTCCATGCGTCAGTGCATAAGCTAGATGCATACATAACTAGTATCTTATAATTTTATAAGCTTATTCAGAATTTCTCATCGGACAATGCAGCTGATCAGATAGAAAATAATTGGCAACTAAAGTGAGCTGGTGATCTGATTTGACTGCACTCAGTGCCTTGGCCTAGTTAGCTGTCACTGGACATGTTCAAGCCAAAGGTCAGCAAAAATATAATCTTTATTTGGCCAGCAAGGTATCTGAAAAAGATGGTAGGTAGATAAGGAGGTGAATTCTCAATTACTTGAATTACTTTGAATTTGAGCTCCACAATTCAAAAGGGATGTGGAGAAGCTTGAGAGAGTACAGAGGAGAGCCAGACTCATGATCAGAGGTCAGGAAAACGGACCTTACGATGAGAGGCTGAGAGCCATGGGACTCTTCAGCCTGGAAAAGCGCAGGCTCAGGGGCAATCTGGTGGCCACCTACAAGTTTATCAGGGGTGCTCACCAGGATCTGGGGGACCGTCTGTTCACCAGAGCGCCCCAAGGGATGACAAGATCGAACGGTCACAAACTTTACCACGACTGATTCAGGCTGGACATAAGGAAGAACTTCTTTACTGTCCAAGCCCCCAAGGTTTGGAATAGACTGCTGCTGGAGGTGGTTCAAGCACTCTGAACGTCTTCAAGACACATTTGGATGTTTATCTTGCTGGGCTTCTATGATCCCTGCTGACTTCCTGCCCCTGGGGCAGGGGGCTGGACTCGATGATCCTTCAGGATCCCTTCCAGCCCAAATATCTATGAAACTTGGCGAGCTATTATGTATTATTACAGTAACTTTTCTTATGGAATGTCTACATGGGGAAATTTACTGCAAAATTGTGTAGGCTATGAATTTCCTAGCTGCTTCATTCTCATGCTCCATATGGACATCCGAAGCTTGCAGTAAGTGGAGTTGGCATTCATTAAAAACCAGGCAGGTGTCCACTAATGCATGTTTGTGGTTTAATTCACACCCTTTGCCCGGGTGTAGATAAGCTTTTAATATCATACTTTCGAAATGAAACATACTGTGTCTTTTGTCCCTTTGGGGTGGGGTCAGGCATTTCCCTGAATTGCATCTTTAGATCTGGTTCAGCAATACCATAGATTCTAGAAGTTTCATTGCAATTCACATGTTTATATCTTTACAGAATTAGGCTTTTTAGTCAGTCAGCAAGAACCATGAAAACATTATCAAATAGAAATTACTACTCTAAAGCCTGTGTTTTCTTGAAAATACATTCTCTGTCTTCCCATCCCCTTCTTGATTAAATGGGGCAGTGTTGTCACATTACTTGTATCTGCATGTTCTTTTACCATCCTGTTTTTTTTGTTTTGTTTTTTGGCTTTTCCATGTTTTTCTAAAAACAGCTCTTCTATCTCTAGTTAGGGTGTATATAAAGGGCGCTCCCTAGACAAGGGAAAACTGATGAATGGCAGAAGTGTTGTCAGGTAAATAAAGTTAAGGGAAAATCAGATTTTCCCTTGGATTGGATGTGTTGCCTGTCAGAACAGCAGGTGAATAAGCTTGATAGAAGTGTTTATTTATTTATTTATTTATTTCCTCCCTCCCCTGAGTTGAAATCTTCTAACTCAAACTAGATTTTTCACTTGCAGTTTTCTCTCTAATTTGGTTATGTTGCAGACCAGAGCATGTTATTTCTCTAATGTTTACACACACAAGATCAATAAAGATAAGCTCTTTTTGACTTCATAGCTTATAAGGATCAGACTCTGGTGTCTGTCATCATCTGTCTTCTAGAAGTTTCATTGCGATTCACATGCTTATGCCTTTACAGAATTAGGCTTTTTAGTTAGCCAGCAAAAAGCAAGAAAATATTATTAAACAGAAGAAGTGCACTGATATATTGACTGTATATCGGATCGGCACTGATAAAAGGAAAATCAACATTATCAGCAATTTGCTTTTATTGGTTGGTGTAGCTGATTAATGTCACTGACAAATGCTGCATGCATGCATGCATGCACACGGCTAAGAGTGCACCTCAGAAGCGTGGAGAGCAGCGTCAGGCTGGTAAGTCTGAAGGGGTGGGGGGGGAGAAGAGGTGGGGGGCGCAGATTGAGGCTCCCATGGAGAGGGAGGGAGCTGCCCAGCCACAGCGGTGAACGTGACCCCAGGACTGGCTTGTCTGGGGGGTGGAGAGGGGGTGCAGGAAGGGTGGGCAGCTCCTTGCTGCTGCATGCACCCCCGGGGGAGAGGGCATGTCCCCCAGATTCACAGACATTTAGGGCTGGAAGGGACCTCATGAAATCATCAGGTCCAGCCCCCCTGTTCTAGGCTCCGGGGTGGGTTATAGTGTGTGGGGGGCAGATCGAGGTGAGGGAGGGGGCAGGCTATAGCCACCCCACCCTGTAGCCCAATGCTGCAATCGCCCAGAACTCCTGCCTCCCGCTTCAAGTGCAGCCCTGGCCCAGCCCCCCTGCCAGGAAGAGGCTGGTGCAGCCCCTGGCCCAGAGCCTGCAGAGGGCAGCCTGTCTTAACCCTGTGCACAAATAGGTTGGGGACACATGACCCCCATGCCTCCCCTGGGGGTGTGCGCAGTGGTGGGGAGCTGCCCACCCCTCCTGTGCCCCCTCCCCGCACCCCCATGCACTCTGGATGAGCTGGCCACAGGGTTGCATTCGCTGTTCTGTGTGGGCAGCGCCTGCCCCTGCCTCACTCCATTCCTCACTGTGCGGGGCCTTGATCTGCACCCCCCCGCATGCCCCTTCCCCTCCACAGACTTATCGGCCTGATGCTGCTCTCCAAGTTGCTGGGCTGCATTCCTGTAAATCGGCAGTCAGATTAGTATTGGCCAATATGGCTGCTTAATTAATTGGCCATCGGTATCGGCCAAGAAAATCTTTATTGGTGCACCCCTACTTCTCAAAAGTCTGTTTTTTCTTTAAAAAAAAAAATCTCTGCTTTCCCATCCCCACCTTGATTAAAGGAGGTTCTCCTTGGTCTGGTTTAGTTAGGAAATGGAGGATGGATATAATGGATATCAACATCTCTGCCCTCAGCAGTTCCACTGGGCTGAATCCATTTGCCAGATTTGTTTATCAGTATGCCAACAGGGCGATAGGAGGATTTGGGAAATAAATGTTCTGTTGACTTCTCCACATGGTCAGTTTTATCCTTGCCTTGGGGTAAGTGGGCATAGAGTGTTTGCAATAGTTCTTGAAGGCCTCTAAGGAAAATTTGAAGAACTGTTCTCCTGATTACCTGTGCTGGAAACCGGAAACAGGCAGTGATGGGGTTGCTGCTGTCACTACAACTGTGTGTGAGGCATAGTTGCATAGTGACTTTGAATGC